AGTCATTTGATTGCCATACTAACATTGATAGCAATACTCATCAGTGCTACAAACCCATTTTATACCTGCAGTACAGGTTGACATGTTGGTGTTTCAATGGTAATACAACCCTACAGGGGCTTGTTTGCATTCATTTTATACTTTCAAAGCAGCAACCCTACAGGGGCTTGTTTGAAGTCATTTCATAGGTTCAAATCCAACAGAGGCTCAACCCTACACTAAATAATTTTTTAAATTTTTTTGTTCTAGTATATATAGGCTTGGATATTTTTCAGAATTTTGACGTTTTCTTAAAATGGCCGTAACTTGAAAAATTAAAGCCAGAATCAGCTCAAACTTGCTACACAGCATAAGGACATCAATATGTATCAGAAAATATAATAAAAAATTGGGATAATTTTGGAGCCATTTTTTGAAAAAAAACCACCTTGGGTATTTTTCAAAATTTTGGCATTTTCTTAAAATGACCATAACTTGAAAAATTGAAGTCAGAATCAGCTCAAACTTGCTACGCAGCATAAGTACATCAATATGTATCAGAAAATGTAATAAAAATTTGAGATGTAAACATTATATGTGCTTCTTGAGATTGACCATGTCTAATATTTACTAGGTAAGGCTATTATGAGTGTGGCTGATGTACTGTTATTATTACATTGTTTGATGCATGAATTAAAGCTTCATTTATTGCATTAACTATTACCCCTCTCTTTCTCTCTCCCTCCCTCTCTTTCTCTCCTTTACATCTTTCATGGTCTGAAGATCCATTGGAAACTTTTACAAAAGGCCAATACTAAAAAAGAGAACAAACACTACTCCTCCCTCCATTCTATTTTTTCTCACTCACCTCTTGGACAGCACTCAGTTTATTAACAATCTTCTCTAAAGCAGCAGCAAATGGCACCTAAGGAAAGCAACAAAGGTTAAGTATAGCAATACTGTACTAGTACCTCTGGGTTGGTCCGTCTTCTCTTTCCAGCTTTAGCTTTTTTCTATAAATAAACAATACATGTACATGTACATGTATGTTCAGGTGCTTTATGAACTAAAAAACTTAGCATACTTCTACGTAGCATAAAAACACTGATATCTATCAAAACTGCAATGAATTATCTTTAGTATTATTTG